TGCTGGGAAGATACATGACAAGAAATATAGAATTATTAAAATACACCTGAATTATTGCCTTTGTTGCATATTACGTACATAACTGACTCTATTAACTTTGTGTGAAGAGGATAATAAAATGACATATTCATTTCATCTTTGTTAGCATAAATAACAAATTTGTACCTGTCAAGGGCACATGGAAATAGCATATAGAATGATTCTATTTACATATTTACAATATATTTTTTTGGTTCAACTTCTCAGTGTGAAAGTTTGAAATGTAACAAGTTAGTAGTCATTCTTGGACACATCTATTAACTATTTAATATTATCAATCTGTTAGCTGACAATAACTCTATCCATAAAATAAACAAGTTATAGATACTATATAAATACTCTTCATAAGTCTGGCCCTATTAAATGTACAAATATATAAAATTAATTTGGTTTAAGTCATAAAAAACATGACAGTGTAAAAAGTGAAGATACAAGGAAGCAGAAGACTTAGTTCCAAAACACAGCTAGTATTGCTTTCACAGCTGCCAACAGTTCTTCATACTATCACAGCTGCCAACTGCGCATTATGCCATCACAGCCGCCAACCTTCTGCATGTACTACAGCTGTCAACAGTTCTTGATACTATCACAGCCAAAAACGGCTATGTGTAATACCACAGCCGCTAATAGTTAATGATACCATTACAGCCGTCAACAGATCAGTGCATCTCTTGAATTAAATTTTATTTCCCTAACAGCTCAGCTTTAAGCTATATGACAGCTGTCAAGGCTATATAAAACAGCGTTTAATCGTTCCCATCATTTAAGACAGCTGCCAATACTTAGAATCATTTCTTATACCTGTCTTTCAACAATTCTGGGAAATATCTTGAATGGCTGTATTTCAACTTCAGGTTTGGACCCTGAGGTTTATCTTTAAAAAACCCTTCTTTTACATACTACAGTATTAAGCGTCCACTTGTAGTTTATGGAGAATTTTACATTAAAAAGAATAAGAAAAGAGAGAAAATAAAAATCCCAAAAAATGAGTAGACCCTCAATGGACACTGAAGGCAGAGCAGGTACATAGGTAACCCTTGGTATTCTAGCATTGGAAGGCTTTGGGTGGTAGGTATGAGAAACAAAGGTTTTCTTATGTGGAGAAGAGGGAATAGATATCTGAAGAACAGATGGAGAGGAGGGTGTAGATGTGGTAAGAAAAAATCGAGTGGAACATTTAGATTGTCTGGTGTGACAGGTAGAGTGAGGAAGAGTAAACATCAGGGAAGTGGTAGAGACTGGAGTATCTGGATTAGGCTGGAAAAGGAATTTGACTAGGGGAGAGAGGGAGTAGAGATAGGATGGATCGGGGTAGATGCTGAGACTTCTTGAGGAGATGGGAGGGAAGTGCAGTTTTGGAATAGGTGGAAAGAGAAAAACCACATCAGTGTGCTTCTTGTCTGGATTCATGAAGAGGCCTAGTTTGAATCTGAGAACTGCTACCTCAAATTTGAGCTTATAGGCAGGGCAGCTCCTATAAAATGCATTATGGGAGCCACCACAATTGGCACACATACTTGACTGAGTAGAGCAATTTGAATGGTCATGACCAAGTTGAGCACATAGGGGGAAGAGGGCTGTGGAGTGAATGATCGGCTGGGTGGTCAAAATGCCAACATTCTTGACACTGAGTGGGAAAAGGTTACCAACACCACTCCACCAACATAAACTTTGTGGGAGAAGTCATGTTTACAGAAGCTAATCTTAGGAATATTGGTGTAGGACTTATGTTGGCCTCTGGGAGGAATAGTGTAGCACTAGACTGCTACTGCATCATAGTTGACAAGCAAGTCATAGTCTGACCATCCTCGTAGACAGGACAATCAGTTGGAGAGACAAAACAGTTCCAGTACAAGTAATAAGGGAGGGGTGAAGTTGGGCAGGAATAGGTTTGCCAGTGAGGTCAGTCAAGATAGATAGTGCACGAGCTTGGGACAAGGTGTGATTGATCGGAATCACTGCGAAAGAAACAGGAACAGGACTCTAATGTAAATCACAAAGAATTGATCCCATTTTGCCAGGCCAAAATGGATACTCTTAAGGTTTGCAGAAGTGGAAGCAGTAGAAGGACGAGGGCAGAAGGAAAATGAGGTGCAATGGAGAGTTGTTGGGAGGAGGACAACAATAATGAATAGTATTAATAAGGGGGCTGGGGGTAGACAATGAAGAAGACTGTGTAGGAGATTGAGTGGAAGATGCTGGGAAGATACATGACAAGAAATATAGATTTATTAAAATACACCTGAATTATTGCCTTTGTTGCATATTACGTACATAACTGACTCTATTAACTTTGTGTGAAGAGGATAATAAAATGACATATTCATTTCATCTTTGTTAGCATAAATAACAAATTTGTACCTGTCAAGGGCACATGGAAATAGCATATAGAATGATTCTATTTACATATTTACAATATATTTTTTTGGTTCAACTTCTCAGTGTGAAAGTTTGAAATGTA